ACCATGAGATCATGACCTGAGCCGAAATCAAAAGTTGGACGCTTGACTGAGCCATGCAGGTGCCTCAAGTTTGGCCCTTTTAGATTCCACATATAAGGGAGAACATACTATGTTTGTCTTTCTCTGACTGATTTCACTTAGCATAATGCCCTCAGCGTTCACCTGTGGTGTCACAAATGGCAGGGTTTCCCATTTTATGGCCGAGTGATATTCCATAGTGTATGTATGTGTGTATGTATGTATATATCACATTTTATGCATATGTATATATGTATCACATTTTTGTTAGCCATTCATCTGTCAGCAGATACCTAGGTTGTTTCCGTGCCTTGGCCATTAGGAATAATGCTGCAGTGAACATGAGGGTGCAGACACTTGACTTCAAGATAGTGATTCCGTTTCCTTTGGGTGTATACAGTAGTTCTGCTGTACCTGCAGGCGATACAGTTCGAGGCCCCCCCCCCCCAACCCCAGTGGATGTTTGAAATTGCAGATGGCTAGAACCTTATATATACTATGTTTTTTTCTAGGAATACATTTTTCATTTTAATAGTGGACATTTTGAGAAATAAGTCTTAAAAATAGACCAGAAAAATGATCTCAGTTTGCTTTCCAAGGAATCCCTATGTGTTAGTCTGTCTGAAGTATAATAAACTACTTCGGATTGGATGTCTTAACAAACAACAGAAATTTATTTCTCACAGTTCTGGGGGCTGGAAAGTCCAAGATCATAGCACTGGCACATTTTATGTGGTGGTTGGCTAGGACCCACTTCCTGCTTCCTAAATGGGTGCCTTCTTGTATCCTAACATGGTGGAAGGGACGAGGGGTCTTTAGGGATTTCTTGTGAAAAAGAAGATTAATTTCATTCCTGAGACCTCCACGCCCATGACCTGCGCACCTCCCAAAGGCCCTGCCTCCTAATACCATTATCTTTGGGGGTTAGGATTTCAGCATGTGAGTTTTGCAGGTGTACAGACGTTCAGATCATAGCACCCTACATCCAACTGTCAGCATTCTCTTAGTTTGCTTAGTTGGGGGTGGGAGTGGTTTCACTGGTTCTCAGAGGCTGTGCCCAGAAGAGGACAATCCTACTTGGAGCTTAGCTGATTTGTAAAGCATATGGTTTTGTACTTAACTATCAGCTTAGAAAATAGCAACATTCCAAGTAATTACCAGGAGGTAGCATCTAAACCATATTGTCCATTACTTTGTGGATGTATGATGGATTGTCATACTACTTAACAATCGTTTTGTATTAACCTATCCTAAAATCAACAGCTTGTCTGTATTTCTGAACTCTATCCTACTGCTATACTGCAGAATTGTTTTTACTGAATTATGCGTTAATGTGAGACTGCTGGTCTGTTTCATAAGATGTATTGAGAGAACAGTCCTGAGAAACTTACATCTGTTTCTCCTCTGAAGATTCAGTTGCAGTGTTTGTATTCTGTCTTCTTGCAAAATTAAAGAAAGAAAACTTGAGAAAATGAAATGCAAGTGTGGTTTGTTTCTTCATGTTATGTTTGGTGGTGCTTACATACTAATACAAAATAAAATACTATCTCTGTGGGAAAAAAGTCCGTCAGCTTGAGCATTGTTCAACAAATGTTTAGAGCTGAGCCAATTTTATTTGGTCCTGCCTTCTGTTATGAACAGATAAATAAAAGGAAGTGTGACAGAGATTTGAGACTTTAAAATCTATTAGAGACACAGAAACTACATCAGTATTTTGTACTTCCAAATAATTAAAATGCTTGAATTTTCCTTTTCTTTCAGTTCCTGGAATAGATGGAGGTGCTTTAACTGATACAAGTCTTACAGATTCCTATTTCAGCACCAGCTTCATTGGAGTCAATGGATTTGGAAGCCCAGTGGAAACAAAGTATCCCTTGATGCAGGTATCCTTAGTCTGAATTTACATGGCACTAAACAGTGAAGTTTATTCCAGTGTCGGGATGTCTAGAGTCTTCATTTATTCCTAAACTTGTTGAGTATGAGGGAAGGTTTTCGGAATTGATGAGGTTGGTGGGATACAGTTGGAGGCTGTGTGAGCTTTCAAGGGTAGGATGGGGTGGGAGGACAGTGGAGTATGTAGAAGACAGATGGAAAGAGACTAGTTTTCACTCCTCTCTGTGTTTTGTGGGTATGGAGTGAAGGCCTTTCAGGATGGAGAGACTGTAGAGGGTATGGAGTGTAAGAAAGCAATGAACATGTTTAGAGAACCGAGAATAGCCCAATTTTATAGAATCTATAAGGTGTATGAAGGCTAATACACACCGGGAGAGGCTATTAGAAAGCGTTTGTTGACTTTTACGTCTTCTCAGATGGATGTTGAAATTTATATTTTATAGACCGGGAGGCTGAATAGTTACATGCGTTGCCCAAGCTAATAATATGGAAGTGCAATTCAAAATAGGTGTGCAACTTTGGTTTTAAATATCTGGCTAGTGAGTAAAATTTTCATCTGATGTGTTGTAGAGAGTATTTGGACATTTTTACATGAATTAATGTAATCCATGTTGCAACATTTATAGTCAGATTAGAGTGTCAGTGATGTGAGAAGTGGATCGGAGGGGAAGAAGCAGAGAGTTCGTCTGAATTGGCTGACTGTTCTCAGTGATGTAATGTTTGTCTATTTTGTTTTGCAGAGAGTGACTAACAGTAGCAGCTCCCCAAGCCTTCTGAATGACAGTGCTAAGCCATATGCAGGCCACGGTAAGACTGGATCCCTCTTTCTCTTTTGTGTGTTTGTACGTATGCGTGCATGCATATGTGTATATTTCTGATCCTAAAACAGTGTGTTCATTGGAGAAACCTTGAAGTCTTGAAAATTATGAATATGTATAAAGGAAGAGAATAAGAATGATCTAGAGAGATCACTGTTGTTTGGATTCCATATAATTCCAAGTAGTGGTTATGTCTGAGTGTGAAAATAACGTGTACTTGTATACATATATACATATACTTACATACGTAATACTTAGCTAAGTAGACTCATATACTTAAGATGGCATTAGATACACTTTAAAATTAGGAGTGTTTCTTGATCATAATAAATTGAATTCTATTGCTTATTTTCATAATTTACTGAAGTTTTTAAAAAAGTATTCTAATATTGGACTATGTGTATGCATCTGTGCTTATATTTTATTTCTTTCGGAAACAGACACGCAGTGACTGTTTGCAAGATCATGGTCATTTTTAAGGTTTTTAATATGGAATTTCCAAGTATCTTTCTGTATTCTATTTTAAAAACAAATGTTCAAAGGGGGCGCCTGGGTGGCTCAGTCGGTTGAGCGTCTGACTTCAGCTCAGGTCATGATCTCACAGTTAAATGAGGTTGAGTTCGAGGTCGAGCCCCGTTTGTCGGGTTTGTTTTTTTTTTTTTTTTTTTTTTTTGGCTCTACTTTGACAGCTGGAGCTTTGAGCCTTGCTTCGATTCATTCTATACCGTCTCCCACTCTGTCTCTCTCTCCCTCCCCGGCTCACGCTTGCTCGCTCTCTCTCAAAAAAAAAAAAAAAAATAAATGTTGAAAAAAATGTTCAAGAATAGCTTCTTAAAAATATGTAACAATTGAGTGTTAGTACTCTGCATAATAGTACCTATTTTTAGGTGCCTTGAATGTATAAATTACATAAAAATATTTTACTAGCTTTTTCTGTACATATATTAAATTGTTAATTCTAATGACAGACTAAGCTATGAAAATTCAGGCAGTCGAAACTGGAGAAATTAAGCAGCAGTCTATACTGCATTTTGAAGAGAGTTAGTAGGTCCTTGTAAATAAGAACAGTTACTATAGATTCTAGAATTTCATGGATCATTTAATGAGAAACATAAGAGTAACTAGAACTCAGAATTGAAGGTAAGGATTTCCATGTGTGTCACGTATCCTTTTCAGAAACTCTTCTGATTTATTAAGGGAAAAACCATTTAGAGACATACTTTTGTTTGTAACTTCTGAACAGAGTAATAGAACTTTGAAACTATAAAATCTTTAAATTTCATGTTTATTTTGAAACAATTAATATTTCCCTCTTTAAAAAGTCAATTTACTTATATTTTTAGTAAGAATATAAAATATCTGGTGACAAACTTAAAAAAGATAGAATATTGCATAGATGGTTTTAAGGCCTGGCCTAAGTGTTAAAATCCAAGTCCAGTCATTCAGAGCATGGCTTTCTGTCCTCCCCACCTCCCTGCCCTTTGTAATTTTTCTCATGATTTGGTTTCACGTACACAAACACTTACTAAATGGTAGACTTACTTCTTTCATAAACACACATTCCTAATAACAAGGTCAAGAGCCATCTCTTCTTTTTTTCTGTTTGATTTTTCTTTTGGTTCCTAACAAACAGATGTACCCTAATCCATGTAGCTTCTGATTAAAGTATTAGCTGATACTTTAATTGGCTAAGTATTGACTGAAAGAAGTATTCTCTAATTTGTGTTTCTTTTACTTAGAAAATATTTGAACATCCACTGTATATGAGGCATTGAGTTTAAGTATTACTGTGGTATATGACTTTTTATTACTGTTAAGAATGTTTTCAGGTTAAACATTTATTAGATTTGTGGGTTGCCTGAGTTGTCTGTGTGGAAACTTATGTAACTTACCTTCCAGATCCTCTAACTTCACCTGCTTCATCCTTGTTTAATGACTTTGGTGCCCTCAACATCTCTCAGAGAAGAAAGGTAGGTGAAGTTGAAACTTATGTGAGACTAAATGGAATATACAAGTGATATTGGGGTCATCACCTATATAATGGTCAATATTCTCCTAAGTTGGGGAGGTGCTTTTAATGGACTGTGATATTTTCGTTGCTTTTGCTTGCCTTTTTATTTTTTATTTTTTGGTATATATTTCATATGTGTAGAATTTTATTTATCTCTGTGCATGAAATAGAGATGTTTTATGTGAAGGAATGAAATCCTTCTCTTTTTTCCTCATTTTCTTTACCTTAATGTATTCTATTTTTAAGAAAACATCAAATTTAATGTTGTAGTTGCTGTTAATGTGACCCATTACAGGCACATTAATCATATTTTAACTTTGTTTCCTAACTGCTTTGTCTAAATTTCAAAGATTTCTCCCCTAATTTAAACTTCTCATTACGGGGCAAACTTAAAAATCTTCAACTTTTCGTAATTGGTTCAACTGTTTAAAAACAGTTTAAAATCTCTCATATCAGAAATGTAACTGTATTTTACTTGACATCGAGGGTGATAGGTCGGGCATAGATTTTGAAGTATTTTATAGGGCTACTTCTATGACAGGTAGAAGTGAAGATTTTATTACAGTTTGATGCCTTTGAGTCTTACGGAGAATCATCATGTTAATGGTAATAATAATCTACAGAAGGTGATATTTTTGGTTAGGATCAGTAGCAGCTAAAGATGTTCAGGAGGTTGTAAATCTTGGTGGAAATTACTACAGTGTTGTAACTAATTCAGTTTCCTAAGTAATGGAAGAAAAGAATATTAATTTTGGGAAACTGATACAAGTTTAAGATGGTTTTAGGAAGCATTTGATCAGAGGGTGGTATAAAAGGAAATTCAAGAAGACTAGATATTCTCAAGATAAGAATTAATGGCGTCAGGTATAAATGACATTTAATACTTTCTGTACCTAGTATTATCTCCATTTTGAACAATAGATAAGAACAAGGAGGTAATTAATTATGAACTACTTTTAATGTAAACTAAAATGTGTGGGTTTAATTTTATACATTTCCTTATGCTGTCACCGAGAGCACGTTTACTCTTGCTTTACATAGTGGTCTTATAAGTTGGAGCGTGTAGTTTTGAATCCACATAGAAGTGGAATAGAATTGAACGCAGGCTGGCTAACTGACAGTAGGGAGCAGTGACAGCAGACAAAGCCTGGCGACATGGAAGGAAACCGTAAAATGCTGAAAAGCAGGTGAAAGCTAGAAATCAAAGTATCTGGAGCTTTTTAGTTTAAGGAAAAAATAAAAAGCCCTTCAGTAGTCTGAGGAGTCCCCTTAATGGCCTTTTCACCTCTTTATTTTTTGTCACTTTTTGCATTTTTGATGATCAGTTAACTGTGATAAGTAGCATTTCTGACGTATGAGTAGAAAGTAAGACTAGCATGGCAAACAAACACTTGAAAGTATTCCTAACATGAGGCTTTAGTACCTTAAAATTGAAATGTGATTGAGAGCTGCCGATACTCATTTTTGAGAAAACAGTAAAAATCCCTGGAGATTGGAAAAAGGAGGATATAGTGTCCATTCTTCCAAAATTCATTTTAGTGTAGGAAAGTAGTAGAAGGAAATGTTGTTACGAATCTGACCTCAACGTTTGGAAGGGAAGTGGAGTAACGAGCACGGTGCTGCAACTTTTGAGGCCCGGCGTCTCCAGCTTTGTGACCTTGGGCCAGCTTCCTCGGCTGCAGTGTGTGCGTCCATGAAATGACAAACGTGCCCTGGATAATGACTGTGGTGTCTCTCTCATGTCTAAAACTCACTGTCTGTCTAAACTGAAAGGACCTACAGGTCAGTCTCTACTTAGAAATTCAGGGTTCACATAGTGGTAGGTCTTTGAAGGACCATATTTTCTTGCCATTTACATTTAAAATAATATGTAGGGACATAGATTTTTTTCCCCCGTAGTGGACTGTATAGTTAGGAATCTGTTGGTACAGGTTGCGTGTGTTTTAAAATTGTTAATGGTTGAATTGAGAAAGCTTAAAATTTCTTTGTGTTAGTAAAACTCTTAGCATAAGAGTGTTGTATGCTACACTTTGTAAATTGAAGGCATATGTAGACTTTTTCTTTGGTCGTAGTAATTCTCAATGTCTGCTTAATGATGTCGTTTTAGTGGAAGTAACTCAACTTTATGTAAATATAATTCTAAGTTGATTTAGAAGGCTGTCATGATTACTGAGAGACCTTTTATTTCATAATGATATTGGAGGGAACAGACAGTTAAGTTAGGCCATACCCACTACCGTGTTTCATAGCTAAATTATTTTCTGGAAATCTCAGGCCAGTGCCTAGGCCAGGCATGCTGCTGTTTTTGCCTGGGGACCATGAGAATTCTCGGGGTCAGATCAGACCACTGCTTTTACTGTAAGCAGACTTACTCTGTGCTATGTGGAAAATTGCAAAAGAATGATGTTTATACTGACTGCTTCTCTCAAATCTAATTGAAAAGGCAGTACATGAACCTACTTACGGCATATTAATTAGTGCCAACGTAAATGTCTGATGATTGCCAAATCGCAGAGAATTCTCTAGATGCAGAAGTGTTTATGGAGAAAAGATGTTTTGAGTTGTGGTTTTTGAAGGTGTGGAATATGGAGAGGAAAGACTCTTATTAATCAGAAGATATTGCTCGATTATAAGTAGAGAGTTAGGATCTTCAGTAAATTTTTAAATCCTCTTTATCATCGACAAGCTAAGAGACTATGACCGGAGGCCCTGTATCTGTAGGGACTGGCTGAAGTAAAATGTGGGATGTGGAAAACAGTATTAAACAGGTTCATTGCCATTTGTGTGGGTTGCTTTATTGTTGCTAGGCATGTGAAAGACTTCCTGAAGGGTCGTGTACTGAGAATGTATGCATTAGGGCAGTACTTACTGCTCATGTCCAGGGACCGGCGCCAGTCCCTGAAGCGTCTGGTACCTGTCTGTGGAGACGGAAGTTAAAAGATTGGAAATACCTTTTTAGAAACTTCTGTAATAATTTGATAATACTGCAACATCCAAATATGTGCTCACTTTTCTGGTAATTCCTTTTTACTTTATAAAAGTATACAACCATGATATATAGGAAATTATGAAAAAAATGATCTTTCACAACTGATGTTTGAGAAGCACTGATTTGTTTTCTACATTAGATAAAAATAATATGATAGATAGGAAAAGTAACCATTGTTTGAAAGTGTGTATAATCATTGTTGGCCAGGAGTGGTGGTGGAAGAAAGTGAATTGTAGCCGTGTATTCTGAGGGAGAGGTAAGCCCCCCAAAACACTAGAGAAGGGGTTTTGTTGAAAATGGGAGTTAATGTATTTGAGATTAATACACGAGGAAACCTTAACAGCAAAAGAGATCAAGCTGCAAACTGGCGTAACAGAAAAAGGGGTGAGAGTCACCGTGAATCACAAGTGTGAAGTATAGAGCTGTACGGTTTTGGGTAAGGATACCTTGGGAAGAGAGTGTCTTTATAACAGAGTTAGATGTTGAAATACAGATATGCATAAATGAAGTGAATCAGCACTATGACGTCTTGCTGGGTATTCTTGCTAAGCTGTGAGTTTGTATGCAGGGCGACCACAGATGATTGAGACAATGCCCAAGCAGAGTGAGAAGCTTCAAAATTTGTATTTGGCGTTGTTGGCTTCCCCTTGTGTATCTCTTTCTTAGCCTTTCTTTGCCCTCATGTTTTAGTCATCGAGAGTCCTTTTCGCGTTCACCGCCTCCCTCCCCCACAGCAAAGAAGGCTCTGGTGACTGTCATTTACACTTCTTGCTTTAGTTGTACTTTATGGTGTTGTTTCAATCAACATGCGGTTTTACCTGGGCACTTGCATTTTATTTCTAGCAATGGGAGAAGAGCTTTTTAAGGTTTTAATTAACAAGTTAAAGCCTTTGGACTCAGGAGACAATGATTTCTAACGTATCATGTTTATTTCTCCTGATTTTAAAGCTCTTGGCTAGGATAAGGGAAGTGGGACCAAAAGGGTTTGGCTTATCTGCTGATGGTTTATTTGTGAGGACGTGTTATTTGTGAGGATGTGTAGATTTTGGACGTCCAGTTCTGGATTATTCTGTTTGAGGGAGAAGTTGACTAGCAATACTTTCTCTGCTTCCTTCCATGTTTTATCTCAGTTTGAGACCTCCTTCCCACTGTTTTCTACCTGAAGAGCATGCATCTCCCTCTCTCACCCATCTGTATTACAAAATTTACTGGCGATATAGTATGTTTTCTGATTAATTTGACGTTTAAATTTTTTCTTGTAACCTTTCTGTTTTAATGTCTTCAAAAGATGACTTTTATATTATTTCTAATCTAGGCAACAAACTATGGAGTTACAAGGAGACTGGAGACTATTTGTGGTAGGGTTCTTTTATTGGAGAAAGCTAAAGTAAATTTGGAGAGATTAATAGAATTATAGCAGAGGAAGTTTGGAATGTAAATCTTTCTTTGATCCTTCTGCGGCTTAGGCTTATTTTGGAACATCAAGCCAAGTATTGATCTCAGGAAAAATAAAAGGGGACGAGAAAATGGAGAAATTGAAATGGAAGTCTTAATGGAAATTGACAATATAAAACTTCACCCGTAAAACCACAGTTGTTAACCTTTTTATATATGTTCTCAAGAATTGTTTTGCTTAGTATTTAGGTTTTGCAGATCAGCCACATCAATATCATTTACCCATGAGTATCGTATGAGTAATGTTTCTATGGAAAATTGTGTTTAGAATTCCAAATTAAACAGCGCTATTCTTGTTTTACTGGCGTAGATGAAACCTCCATTCATCTCCACTTGCCAAGCTGTGGGAATGTGTGCTCTCCCAACTTAAGCCAGAGGTAGGTGAGGTCGTAGATTTAGAGATGCACATGAGTCCCTATGGGAACTGGTAGAGTTGTTAGATCCAAGTCCCTGCAGGTAGGGAGGCGCCTTATGCCATGGTCCCCGTTTATAGCTTACTCAGAGCTCCTGTTGAG